GCTGAAAGCAAAGAGGTTGGTTGCAGAAGACCAAAAACTATATAGCCTTCCAGATGGACTGAATCTCAATATCAAGAAAACAAAGATCTTCAACACTGGGCCAATAAAGGCCAATAACCAACATCATATAGATGGAGAAGAGACTGAAGTTGTCATCGATTTCACCCTTCTTGGATCCACAATTGACACCATCGGTACCAACAGTCAAGAAATCAAAAGACAAAGTCTGTTGTCAGGGGCCTTTCCAAAGTCCTGTAGAGCAATGATGTCAGCTTAGGAACTAAAGTCCACCTGATTGCAGCCATGGTCTTTTCAATCACCTGTTCTGCATCTGAGAGCTGGAAAATGAATAAGGGTGACAGAAGAAGGATCAAAGAGTTGTGGTATCAGAGAATAGTGCTGATTGTCCCACTGACTGTCAAAAGAACAAACACGTCTTAGGGAAAGTGCAGCCAGAGTGCTCCTTGGAGGCAAGAATGGTGAAACTTCATCTCACATACCTTACGCATATTGTTAGGAGAGACTATTCCTTAGAAAAGGACATAATGGCTGGGAAGGTGGAAGGTCACTGGAAGAAAGGAAGACCCTCAACAAGGTGCACTAACAAAGTGGCTGCAGCAATGAGATCAGGTATATCAGATGGCACAGGATAGGCCAGCACTGAGATCTGTTATTCATACAGTAGCTGTAAGTTGTACTCAACTCGATGGCACCTGTTAACATCATGAATTAAAAGGAGATTGCACATCTTTCTACTGCAGAGATTGGAAATATCAGAAAGGTGTAGCCTTGGAGTTATAGTGCAACTAGTTCCCTTCTAAGTTTAAGTTCCCTTCCCCCTTATACCAGTAAATATATCAACTTTTGAAAAGGAAGTTCTTTTCACCACATCCACTAAATATTTAACTAACACTAAATAATCTAAACTTATCTCATCATTTTGACACTTAAGGAAAAAAAATCAGATTTAATACTTTGAAAAAGCTATATGAACTCGAAAATGTAACTGATATTTCTTCAAAAGCAGTAGCATTCTTTTTTATAGCTTATAACGCCTGTGATTCAGAGCATAAGGAAAGCCTGCCTGTCCCAAATACCACAGACTGCCAAAAAAAACTAGTGTGTCCTCGAAGGAGTGCAACAAGGGTGCTCTTTGGAGGCCAGGATGGTGAAACTTCCTCTTGTATACCTTGGGCATGTTGTCAGATGTTACACTTTCTCTTACCAGCAGGAAAAGTATCAAGTGACAGAATGAACTACTCAAGACTTCCTAGTCAAGAGGTAAGGAGAGAGGAATTCATGGTTGAATGTCCTCAAGAACAGCTGACCTCATACCTTTGATTAGAGAAGTTTTAAAAGCAGAAAAACATGTTGACGGAAGTCTCAAGATTAGCTGATCCCAGTTTGCCAAGCTATCACTATAACAAAATTTAGAGACAGCAAGAAAATGTTTTCTTTGAGATATGCACATACTTGTAGAGCAAAATATTTAACTCTAAAGAGACATGCTGACATTTAGCATAAGGAGATATGCTGACATTCACTCACTAACTCTCAACTTTGGTCATTTTTACTTAGGAATGTTTTCTTTATACTTTGACAATGAGCACCAGTGTTTGGAATTGACTTCATGTCTGGAAAAGTGGAAGGTCATTAAAAGAAAAGACAACCCTCAATGAGACTAACACAACGACGGTAACAATGGGCCTACGTGTGGCGGAAATGGTGAAGACAGTGCAGGAAGAGGCTAGGTTGTGATCTGTTAGTCATATGGTCACCATCAGTTGAAGTCAGTTTCATGGGGCCAAGAAACAAAAATAACCTGGCAACAATAAACTGACAGACAAGTGTTATACTAACTAGAACTGTAGCAACAAAGAAATTAGCAATATGCAGATCGTTCCCCCATTCCAACAAACCAACAGATAAATAAGCAATAATACCGGTATCTAATAACCTTTGCTATGCAGATGACAAAACCTTGCTTGCTGACAGGGAGGAGGACTTGAAGAGTTTGCTGCAGAACATCAAAGATGTTCATCAATATGAATTACATCTCAACATCAAGAAAACAAAAATTTTCACCACTAGATCAACAGGCAACATCATCATAGACAGAGAAGAGATTGAAACTATCAACTACTTCATCTTGCTTGAGTCCACAATCAATTCATTTGGTACCGTCAGTCCAGAGTTCAGGAAACAATATAACATTGGGAAAGCATGCCGTCAAGGACTTCTCCAAATAATTGCAAAGCAATGAGGTGAATTTCAGAAAGTGTGCTCAAAAGGTGTACTTTATTTAGGCCATGGTCTTTTCAATCACTTGGTATTTTGCTGAAAGCTGAACAGTGAATAAGGATGACAGAAGAAGAATTTATGTTTTTGAACTGTAATGTTAGAGAAGGGCACTGAATATCTCCATGGACTGAAAACCAGTAATGTTTCGGAGAATGTGCAACCAGAGTGCTCCTTGGAGGCAAAGATGATGAAACTTCACCTCACATACTTTGGGAATATTGCTTTGAGAGGCTATTTATTGCAGAAGGACATCATTGTTGGGAAGGTGGAGGGATGATGGCAAAGGACAAGAAGACCCTCCACCAGGTAGATTGACACAGTGACTGCTGTAATGGCCTCTAGTGCGTCAGAAGTGTTCGGATGGCTCAGGGTAGAAGAGGGTTCAGATCTATTATTCATAAGGTCACTATGGGTCATATCTGACTTGATGGCACCTACCAAGAATGAACAAGAACAGGAATGGGGAGGAGAAATTCCCTAAAGGTTCTTACCAAAACCAGGCAGATTCAGGAAGAATTTCAGAATTCTTTCACAGGGGAATTTATTTGATTATCAGAGATAAGTTTCTGATAAACTACTCACACTCAAACATTAACCTCAAACTCACTGCAACTGAAAAGTAATGAACTCATAGCTGACCCTCCAGTGGGTTTTCAGAAACTGTGTATTGCACAGGAGATGACTGTCCATCTTTTCCCCACAGAGAAGCTGTTAGATTAAAACTGCCTGAGAGACACCACAAGAAATAGGAGCACAAGTCCCTAGGGACTATGCTCACAGTAGGAATTAAAATTTTATGGCTTAATATGAGCATCATGTAAATAAATAATTTCCAGTCTGGTCTCTTGAGGACTCTACATATAGTTGGGGAAAAGTAATATCTAAGAAGAGTGACTTTGCCCCACAGAATAGCGTGGCATGGTTATTTCAAAAGTAAACATCATCTACAACACAAATATTCTCATGTTGCCATGCTTTTCTAATTTTAAAACACTCTTCTCAAAATCATATTTAAAGTATAAATTAAAAATCCTCAAAATACTTGAAGTATAAATTAGAATTAATGCATCAGAGAGTTGGACAGTGAATAGGGATGATAGAGAATTGATGCCTTTGAGCTGTGGTGCTGGAGAAGAATGTTGAATATACCATGGACTGCAAGGAGAACAAACACATTTGTCCTGGAGAAGGTGAAGCCGGAATGCTCCTTGGAGTCAAGGATTCTGAAACTTTGTCTGACATACTTTGGGCATGTTGCAAGGAGGGACTGGTCCTTGGAGAGGGACATCATGTTTGGGAGAGTGGGGGGATGGCGCAGGAGAGGAAGACCCTCGATCAGATGGATCGATTCTGTGACTGGAGTGGTGGGAATGAGTGCATTTGAGATGGCTAGGTTGGTACAGGATAGAACGGTGTTTAGAGCTCTTGTACTTAGGGTCACTATGAGTCGCAAGCGACAGGATGGCACATAACAACAACAACAACGTCTCAAAATCATATTTGAAGTATAAATTACAAATTCTCTAAATATTTGAAGTATAAATTAGAATTAATATTTGAAGCATAACTTACAAATTCTGTATGTAACTAAAGAAAAGAATTGTGTATCAAAAAGTAAAAGTCACAAGGTAGCAAGATGCTAGCCTACTCTCACCTAGTTAATTTGGTAGCAAATATGACTATTTTTTTTCCTATCTAGCAAGCACTTTATTTGGCTATTTTGGGGGTTCAGTTGGATAAACAAAGCTATATTTCACATTTGTTATTAAAAAGAATAGTATGCTGGAGAACCTATGCATAAATCCCATTCTCTATTACTGTTTTGTTTCAAAGCTCTGTAGACTAAGACAGCTCCACTGTTAAGTAAGGAAACCAAGGTTATCATGACCGCACTGGTATTTAACCTTGATGCACACACTGGCATCAGCAGCCACAGTACAGGAACACCTCATTTCACTGTGTTTCATATTCTTGTGCAATGTAGATAGAAAGACTTTCACAAATTGAAGGTTTGCGACAATCTTTTATCAAGAAATTCCAAACATCATGTGCTTACATAGCATCTCAAAGTAACCTTGGTAATACTCACAATATTTCAAACTTTTTTTATAATGCTACTGCACACTTTAACAGACTAAAAAATGATGTAGATATAACTTATATGCACTGGGAAATAAAAAATCTTGTGACTCACTCTATTGAGATATTAAGTTTATTGTGGTGGTCTGGAAAAACTTAGTTAAAACAGAATGAAAATACAAATAGCTCTAGTTGATAAAAAATGATAAATATCTTCCACCTCCTCTAACTACAATATTAATCATATTCTACCAATGTGTCCTCAGTCTGGAAGAAATTTTAAATTACATTCTCTCTCAGCATTCCATTTAAAATATTAGAAATGCAAATGAAAGAGTCATGTCAGCCTTCTTTTCTCCATTTATTCCACAGATAGTATTGAGCATTTACCATAGCTGGTGCAAACGACTCTCTTTTCTGGTCCAGTGAATTGAATAAATCAGATATATTGATCAAGATTAAATAAAAGGAAAGTGCCTGTATATTTTCAGAACTCATTTTGCAATTAATTCATATTATTGAGTATACAACATATCTTCATAATATCCAATTCAAACTGCATATGTTTCTTCTAAAAGGAAACAATTTTAGTGTTTTCATGATAGTAAATCAAATTATACCTTAGTTTTTTTCTCTTGCAATGACTCCTGGATACGTTCTCTTAGGGATTTCGCAGATGAATTATTCACTTGGCTGGGAGACCTAGAAGGGGGAAGGGGGAAATAAAGAAAAGTAAAACCTTAGGGGGGGGGGGGGAAAGCAGCTTTTATACTAGTTTCCCATCTACCCTGAGGTCAATTATAGGATAAATGACAACTGAACTTAGTTGCTTACACTGTTGTTATTCCTGTTTCTGAGTTCATTCTGGCTCAGTGACCCTAATAGGGCTCCAAAATGAAAAAGAAGAACTGTTCCATACGACCTTCTAGGCTGAAATATTTTTCAGGGGCAGGTCACCATAAATCTTCTTCCACAAAGAAGCTGGTGGGTTCAAACTGCCATTATGCCCCCAAGACTTCGAGGTGCCCTGAGAATTTTAAATTGTAAAAATGCTATTCGTTTAGTCATAAAATATTAGAAAATCTACTACGCATAATTTTGCATAGGGTTTTCGAAGGCCTACTATTTCAGTTAGAAGTGCATGGTCAATCCTTTGTTCTAGTTTTAATTTGAATGCTCAGGTTTAGAACATTACCTGACAGACAAGTATTTTACAAAAAAGAGCAAATGAAAGATATTTCCAAGTTGTAGAAATAACCAACAGATTTAGTGTTGTACTCGCCCCTGACATATATAACTTGACCCACACCTTTCTCTGTTCCACCAGCATTCCCTTCTACTCTCGCCTATTCCATTTAACACCTATCTCCCCCTATTCAGAACTTGATGTGATGGCTTATAGCTCAAGCTTTCTTGGGCGTCTGTGATTCCGAATGCCTGCTGCTGCTGCCACTTTCTTCTGCTGCGGGCAGTATCTCTTGAGTTTAGAAGTCTGTAAGTCCAAATCCTTATTTTGTTGATATTGAGATGCAATCCATACTGAAGGTTGCATTCCTTGATCTTCTGCAACAAGTGCTTTAAATCCTCCTCACTTTCAGCAAATGATGTGTTATCTGCATAACGTGGATTATTGATGAGTCTCCCTCCAAACCTGCCACATTCCTCTTCATGGAATCCAGCTTCTCGGATAATTTGCTCAGCATGTAGATTTAACAGGTATGAAGATAGAAAACATCCCTGACACGCTTCCTTCCCAATTCTAAATCATGCAGTGCTTCCCTGCTCCATTTGCACAATAGCCTCCTGATCCAGGTATAGGTTCCTCATGAGCACAAACAAGTGCTCTGGCATTTCCATTCTTCTCAATGTCAACCCCAACCTGTCATAATCCACATGGTCAAACACCTTTGCATAGTCAATAAAGCACAAATAAGCATTCTTCTGGTATTCCTGACTTTCAACCAGGATCCACCTGACATCAAATATTATGTCTGTGGTGTCACAGCCTCTTCTGGCAATTCTGTATCTATGTACTGTTCCAATCATTTTTTAATGATCTTCAGCAGCATTTTGCTTCCATGTGATAGCAATGATATTGTTCCATAATATACACATTCAGTTGGATCACTCTTCTCGGAAATAGGAATAAATATGGACCTCTTCCAGTCCATTGGCCAAAAAGCCATCCTCCAAATTTCCTGGCATAGACTACTGAGTGCATCCAAGCCTGTATCTGTTAATTGAAACAAGTCATTTGGTATCCCATCGACTCCTGGGGCCTTATTTTTAGCCAATGCCTTCAATGCAGCTTCCACTTCCTCTTTCATTACCATTGGTGCATATTCATATGCTATTTCCTGGAACTTTTCAGTATATTAAGAAAACAAAGATTCTTAGCACTGGACCAATAGGCAGTTCATGATGGATGGAGAGGGAATTCAAACTGTCAACAGCTTCATCTTGCTTCGATCCACAATTCATACACATGGTACGAGCAGGTAGGAAATAAAGAGACGCATTGCACTGGGAAAATCTGCAGTTAGGGACTTGTCCAAATTATTGAGGAATAATGATCAGTCTGTTTGAGGACCAAGGTGTGTCTGATTCAGGCCATAGTCTTTCTGATTACTAGCTATGCATTCGAGACCTGAACAATGAATAAGGATGACAGAAAAAGAATTGATGCTTTTGAGCTGTGGTGTTGGAGAAGAGCACTGAACATCCCATGGATGGCCAAGAAAACAGATATGTCTTAGAGAGGGTGCAGCTGGAGTGTTCTTTGTAAGAATGATGTGACTTCGTCTCACATACTTTGGACATATTGGTAAGAGGTGCTATTCCTTAGAGAGGGACATGATGTTGGAAAAGGTGAAGGGTTGGCGAAAGAGAGGAAGATTGACATGGTGAGGCTAGTTAAGGGCTCTTAGCTGTTAGAAAGTGTGAGGATGGCACTGGACAGGACTAGGTTCAGATATTTTGTTCACAGGGTCGTTATGAGTCGTACTTGACTCAATGGCACCTAACAACAACAACAAAGTCCAAATACCAGGTAGTAGTATCAGGGAAGGCTTCCTATCTCAGATGGTTCTGGGGAAAATGCTTTGTCTTGAACTTCAGCTCCAGGATTGACTTCTTGCTGCTTAGGGCATCTTTTCTTCCATTTGTAGAATACTAGGGTCAAAATGGAATAGTTTCCCAGGGGAGGGTGAAGTATACTGTAGATGTGGTATATAATGTTGTGTTCTTGACCTGAGGGATTTTGGCCCTCGGCCCCCAAAATTCTGAAGTTGTTATCCTGGACTCACAGGCTTCTGGAAACCTAGTCAATATCAATGTGAACAAAATCACTCATATCACATGCAAGCAAGATTCTGTGAAGATTATCTAAAGACTAGAACAGCATATCAACAGAAAACTGCCTGAAGTGCAGGCTGAGTTTAGAAGAGGTCGTGGTACTAGGGATATTATAGCTAATGTTAGATGGCTCTTGGCAGAAAGCAGGGAGTACCAGAGGAATGTCTACCTATGTTTCATTTACTATGCAAAGACGTTTGACTGTGTGGATCACAACCAACTGTGGCTGACTCTGAGAAGAATGGGAATCCCAAAGCACTTGATTGTGAAGCCTATACTTGTAATAGGAGGCAGTCGTTGGAACAGAGCAAGGAAACACTGAATGATTCAAAGTCAGGAAAGGTGTACGCCAGGGATGCATCCTTTCTCCATACTTTTTCAGCCAAACTCTATCTAACATTAGCTAGAATAGTCCTCGTGCCCTGGTCTCTTCTAAATCCAGACTGCACATCTATCAGTTCTCTGTTGATGGGCTGTTCCAGTTGCTTTTTTAAAATATAATTTTGAGTAGAATCTTGTCTGCATGTGATATTTTTTTTACCTCAAATGTATCCTTCCTGAATTTAATTTTTTTAAATTAAATTTAATTAGTTTTAATGAACATTTACAGAGATTTTTGGGTTTTCATTCATTCATTGTTGCACTGTTTTCTCCACCCTCATCCCCAGTTCGTTCTTCTGCCCCCCCCATGTCTGTTTTAATTGTCCAATTGCCACAGTGCTTGTCAAAGCCAGTTCTGATTAATCTCCTTTGTCAGTGTGTCCCTTGCCATTCCCTATCACTCCTCCCTGAGAGACTTCACCCTGATTTATAAGGAAAAGGGGATGGTGTATTCTCTTAGCTACTTCCTGCTGAAAAGGGACGTTGTGGGTTTCAGGGTGAAGGTCTTCTCTCACTCCTCTAAAGGGCCCCTTTGGCAGTAGGAAACACTATTATGGAGATTGATTTTGGAATTTAGATTCACTGTTATCAATTGTGCTATTGATATTGTTCGAAATTTCTGCACTCTGTTGGACCACCTTTTTTTGGAATGGGAACAAATATGGATCTCTTCCAGTCAGCTGGCCAGGTGGTAGTCTTCCAGATTTCTTGGCACAATGTGGTGAGCCCATCCAGGTCAGCATCTGTTTGTTGAAATATGTCAACTGGTATGCCATCAATTCCTGGGGCCTTGTTTTTTTTGCAATTCCTTCAGAACAGCTTGAACTTCCTCCTTCATAACCACAGGCTCTTGATCATATGTTGTTTCATGAAATTCTTCTGTGTTAGCCAATTATTTTTGGTACAATGACTGTATATTCCTTCCATCTTCTTTTAATACCTCCTGGATCATATAATATTTGGCCCTCAGTACTCTTAAGTATTGCAATTAGAGACTTGAAATTGTTCTTCACTTCCTCCAGCTTAAAAAAGCCAAGCGAGTTCAGCCCTTTGATTTTCTGGCTTCAGCTCTTTGCACGTATGGTAACACTTTGCTTTATCTTTCTGCACTGTCCTTTGAAATCTTCTGCTCGCCTCCTTAATTCCTTTTCTTCTTCTTTTAAATATGGAACACTTCATGAATTTGTGTGTAACCCTTGTGCCCGGGCCATGCTAATCTTCTCTGTATCATCCAATTGTAGTATATGCACTGCCAAAGCGAGCACTAAACTTCTTGATTTCTTCCCCTTGCTTTGGCTTCTTGACACTCTAGTGCAAAATACAGTCTCTTTTGACAATCATCCTGGACTTTTCTTCCTCCTCTATCTCTGTAAGGGCCTTTTGCAATCTTCATGGATGATATTCTTGGTATCTTCCCACAGCTCATTTGGTCTTCGCTCATTAGTTTTCAAGGTCTCAAACCTGTTCCTGGATGGTTTTGAAATTCATGGGGGATAGACTCAAGGTCAAGTTTTGGGTTTTTATTAATTAGATTTAATCATTGTTGGCTTTACTTTGAACTTGTATAGCAGTACACAATCATCACCTGGCTTAGTTTTCACAGCTGATAGTGAGCTTCTCCAGCAATTCCTTTCACAGATGTCATCAATTTCATTCCTATACACACCATCAGGTGAAATTCATGTGTACAGTCTGCATTTATGTTTCTTATAAAAGGTATTCAAAATTAATAAATCAATTATGCAGATTCTATCATTCCATGTCCAGCCTCATTTCTGTCACCAAGTCCATGTTTTCCGATTATTGATCCTTCTCCCGTTTCCAATTTTTTGTTTCCAGTCACCTATTATATTAATGCATCATGATTCCATGCTTGATTTCTGATTGCAAAAGTTGGCAGAAATCTTCTATTTCCTCCTCTTTGGTTGTGGTTGTTGATGCATGTATTTGAATGACAGTGGTATTCACTGGACTTCCTTGTATATGTATGGATATTATCCCATCACTTACCACATTGTATTTTAAAATGGATCTAGAAATAACTGTTTTAACTTTGAAAGCACCATATTTTTCTCACTTTTTCATCTCTAGCATAGTAGATCATATGATCATCTGAGTCAAAATGTGCTATGCCTATCCATCCCATTTTGCCAGTATCTAATATGTCAATATTTATGTATTCCATTTCTTTCTTAAAGATGTCCAGGTTTCCTACATTCATGCTTCTCACATTCCACGTTCCAGTCACTAGTGTCTGCTTATAACTGTTCCTCCTCCTTTGTCTTTCCATATTTAAGGGCTCAGCCTCAGTTGTCATATCTGGTAGTCTATTCCAAGTGACTAGAGCACGATTGTACATGGGGTTTTTGAAGGCCTGTTATTTCGAAAGTGGAAGGTCAATCCTTCTTCTCAGTCTGTCTTAAGTGGAAAGCCCAGCTTTAGTATCTAACAGACAAGCATTTTACAGAAAGGAGCAGATGAAGTATTATAGAAGTAACCAACTGAGTCATGTTGTTGACCAAAAAGATGGTGTCTCTTTGGAAGTTCGACTGCCAGAAGCTCTGCAGTCAAATAATGGGTAATACCTTCTAGAGGTGCGGTTTAAGCCTGGGAAGTATACAGGGAAGTAACTTCAGGAGCTCTGGGGGAGTAGTTCACAGAGAGTTGCCAAGCCTCTCTGATGGGTTTGAATCCACTTGCTACTGTATGGGATAAAGATAAGCAATGAGAGAGTTCAGAATTATTATTGCTCTACTTGCCATTAAAACTGCCAAGGATCAGGTCTTAGACATCACAGAAGCACACATTTAAGTGGAGGAAGACACATTTAGGTCTCCTGGGCAAGTTACTAAAGTGATGGCAAATTAAATGGGGTTCCTGTAAGGGTTGAGATAAAATATGTGGAAACATTTAGCAATGTTCTTGAGACATATAAAAGTTAATTACTAAGAATAAAAGCAAGAACAATGATAAAAATCCTGACACACTCTCACATATATAATATTTTCATATTCAAATGTTCAATCTCTTTAATATTTTTGTATCCTTCTACTACGGTTTCCAAATTCCTACCACAAGCACATAATCAAAGAAGATGTTTCTAAATTTTTTTTAAATGTCTTTGCAGACGCAAGTGAACAAGTACAAACAACGTAATTTAGACAGTACTTACCTAAAAAGTGTAAGAAGAGAAGTTCCATTATAATTAATTATATTTTCATCATCATACAGAAGTTCTGCTTTGTTTTTGGTAGGCACATCAGCAGCATCTTCGTCCAAAAGCACGAGCAAAGCTTTCACAGTCTCCCGGCCACAGTACGCAGTCCCATGGTTTATGGCGTGAGATTTTGGCTAGAATAAAGAATGATTTTAAGTACACAATGGTTTTACATATAATAATCACTTTAACTGGATGTTTCTGTTAGTTGCATTTGTCCATGTGATGCGCCACTGTTCTCATTTTTCCTCTCATTTTGCTGAAGTAATAAAACACAAGGCCTGTGGAGAGCCTATGATGCATGTGGATATCACTCTTGTCAGCCCTGGTGACTTACTACATGTTATGCTGCTAACACGAAGTCCTCCAGGGCACCTCAGGAGTAAGGTGGGCAGATTCCTTCCATAAAGACTCATAGCCTTGAAAATGAATAACCGTTGATGAAGAGTTATTACGAGGAGAACTCAATTTGAGTGTGGTGGGTTTGGTTGGGTTTATAAACAACCTTACCTACCTCCAGACGCACAAAAAAATAGACAAAAAAACAGTATCATCAAAAGAAGGTCTTGGCTCCTGGTTAAAATGCCAGATTCTGGGCTTTGAGTCACAAAATTTTAGCTACTTTCTAGCTATAGATGTTGTTGTTGTTATTAAGTGCCATCAAGTCGCAGGGACTCATAGCGACCCTATGAAGGAGAGTCCTCAACGCTTGGGTGTCTTACATCCTCTCTCCAGGTTCATAGGGTTTCTGGAGGCAAGCTATTATGGAAGTGGATGCCGCTCCTCCTTCCAAGTTTGTCTGAATCGGAGAGCTCCACCCCACTCTCTGTCCGGATTGGGTAACCAACCATTGACGCATTTGACACATCAGTGTGACAGTGTGTCATGATTTTACCACTTTGGGTGTTTTTTTTTTCTCATTTCTACAAAACAGAAATGAGGGTCTAGAGATCCAATCTCACAGTAATTATAAACATTTAATCAAATATAAAAATTAATAGAGACTAGTTAATTGAGTTTCATTCACTCAACCATGATTGATAACTATTTACTTAATGCACGATGTGAACTCTAGCGACCTACTGGGTGGGGAGTTACAGTGCCAAGTGAGAGCTGAGGTATTCAAATTACCAGCTACTCCTCAGGAGAAAGATGGGCGATTCTCTCCATGCAATGTACAGCCTCTGAAAACCTGTGGGAGGGTCAGCTCTTCATGGATGGCAATGAGAGTGAGCGACATCTAAACCTAAGGACCTGTTAGCAGGCAAGGGCTTAACCATTTGACCAAAATTCAGATTGTAGCAAATTCTGTCTGTTACAGAATGAACATCTTTTCCTTTATGCTGCTACAGAATGAACAGCTTTAATTTTATTAAGCATACAGAAAAAGATGTTCATTCTGTAGGAAAACAGAAAAAGTTCTGACGGCAACACGTAAAACAAATTCTAGAAGAGTATTCTAGAATCTGGAGACAAGGGCACAAATTAAGAGACTATAATAATCCATGTCTGGTGGCCTAAAGGTATGAAGCTGCACTGTAATCCCAAAGGCAGGCAATTCGAAGCCACCAGCTGCTCTGCAAAAGAAGAATGGGCAATCTCCTCCCATGCGGTTTGCTGCTTCTGAAAACTTGCTGGAGGGTCAGCTATGTGCCAGTTCCAACTTGATGGCACACAACAACAATAATCATCTATGATAGAAATAAAGATGATCTGAATTCTGATAATGAAAATCAGAAAAAAAAACCAGATAAGAATAACAGAATTGGAAATGTTGTGACTATGTAGAGAAAGAAGGAAAAGTTAAATGGTTGCTGTTGTTGTTATGTGCCGTCGAGTCGTTTGCGACTCATAGCGACCCTATGCACAACAGCCCTAAACGATGCTCTATCCTGCACCAACCGCACTGCCTCTGACACACCCATCTCGATTACCCCAGTCACCAAATTAATCCATCTCATAGAGGGTCTTCCCTTTCTGCGCTGTCCCTCCACCCTCCCAAGCATGATGTCCCTCTCCAAGGACCAGCCCCTCCTGGCAACATGACCAAAGTATGTCAGACGAAGCCCCAGAATCCTTGCCTCCAAGGAGTAGCATGGTTTAATCCTCTCCAAGATGAATTTGTTCGTTTTCCTGGCAGTCCATGGTACATTCAGTAC